CAAGAAATGAACCTAAACCTTACAGTGTCCAGCAACTGTGTTTGGCAAGTGTGAAATAGCTTTTGACTGGTTATTTCTGATTCAATAGGTGATCTATTTCCTGCTGTATATTAGAAAACCTGCTGCATCTCGGGCTCTGTTAGCCCTCTACCTAGTTTTCCATTCTAGGCTAGTTCCTCATGACTTTGGGAATTCAAGTTGCTTTTTCATCTTCCCCCTCCCCGTCCTTCTCCTCCTCCTCCTTTCCTCTTCATCCTCCTCCTCTTTTTTTGTTCCTCCTCCTCCTCCTCCTTCTTCTTTTAGTAGCTGTACATACTTTTATTTTTCTTTGGGGGCACTTCTTTAGTTTATTTGCTTCCCTGAATATAAACACATAGACCTTTTTAATAGGAAGGTGTTATCTAAAGTTTCTATAGAAAAAATAGGCAATGAATAACTCACGTGAGGTGATTGTGGCTTCATGGAAGAAGCATTGGACTTGAATTCAGTCCTGTATTATAATAAAAGCCTAAACCCACCGCTTTGTTTGCTGGCAATATTAGGCAGGTGATTTCACTTAGTTCTAACTTTACTCATAAGATAAGGATAATCTTACAGGGTTGTTTTGGCTTACACATAAACCAAAGTGCGCTGCACAAAGGTCTCTTGATCAGTTCATCTGGTCTATAGTCACTTTTTTCCTTGTCAGATTATCTTTTGGGAATGGTTTGATAGTAGAAGAGACCATTCCCAAAGTTAATCCAGAATCAGGCCTCCCCACCCACCTGCCTCAGGTTAGCACAGCACAAACCCGTCAGGCCCTGTGAAGCAGATCTCCCAGGGAAGCACAAGAGGAAGTCCTCCATCCAAGCCCTGGGTTATCAGGCACAACCACAGGCTCTACATTACCACTAGTCAGCTTAGTAACTAATGGGGAACTGGCCCTGCTGGTGAAGAACTAAGGCTACATCCACAAGCTGCTCCATAGCCTTGTTAAGAAAATGTACTTTTTTTTCTGTTTACTCAGTGATTCAAATCTTTTTGAGACAATTATGTTTGACCCAAACTCTACATTCTGAGATAAGTGGAAAATCTCAAAGACTAAACTCTATTCCACCAGACAGGCAGCTCTGTGCCCACGCACGTAGACCTGTGCCAGGCTCAATAGGTGCTCGATCAAATCCCAAGGAAACCTAAAGGAGTTACTTCAGTCAGCAAACTGTGATGGGTAACATGTTTCTGCACTGGGTATTTTCCAGTTGTTCCTTAAAATAGTAGTCCAGTCCTCTGCAGAATTACTTGCATTCATGATCATCCGTGCTCTGCCATTTAATATCTGCAATCACATTTTCTCAGGCAGTGACCTCAAGATGTAAGAAAGATGAGGAAAGAAAAGGAATTGTGAGGGAAAAACCCTGTGTGAAATTACAGGATTCCTGGTGTTTTTAAAACTTGGTCTATTCTGAGTCTTGCCAAAGTCCCCTGACCCTGGTATAATCAAACATACCTTTGAGGAAAAAGCAAATGGAAACAACAGGGAGTATTCAGATGCATTTATTCAACAATCAGGCCAGCCAGGCCTCACAGTGACCTGATGGGATTTCAAAACCTTGATTCTCAGCAAGGCCCAGATTTTCGAATGAGGACAGAAGTCTGGCGCTTCCTGCAGTAGAAATTTAAAAAAAAAAAAAAATCAGCTTAAACTTTATTGACAAAAAAGTGACTATGGGAGAAAAACGGGGCAAAATAACTTCATTTAAAGTATAGGGGTTTGAGATTTAGAATCTTTTCTCTTTCATTCATTTATACATTCACTTACTCATGAATTCATCAGATATTTATTGATTACTGTTGTCTACTCTAAGGATACAACAGAAAGGAAAAACATCTGTCCTTACAGTTTTTACAGACCTAGTGGAGTGTTACAGTGAACCCCTGAAATTAAACTCAAATCCATCATTGCATCTTTTGCTCCTGATGCCTCTGCCTTCGCCACCAGGTTTCCATCTGAGCTGCTGCCTGAGCTATTGTTGGACCTTCTAATTGACTGACCTTTCATCTTAGAGCTCTAGGGATTCATTTCTGTGAGGTCTCGCAAAACTAAATCATATATTTATTCCACATGATTCCTGCCAGTTCTAAACATCCTCCCCTCCAGATAAAACCTCTCTGTTCGCCCCACACTGCCATTACCAAACCAGTTTTCTCTTCTCTAAGCTAAATATCTCTAAATGTTGTAATTGTTTCCTAGAAGACTGTTTCCAGGTCTTTAATTTTTCTAACCATTTTTTCTTTGAATATACTGGCTTACAAAAATTCTTCTACTTCTCTATTACTGGAGGACATCTGACTTCCATATACTTTTTTTTTTCTTTTCTTTCTTTCTTTCTTTCTTTCTTTCTTTCTTTCTTTCTTTCTTTCTTTCTTTCTTTTTTTTAGACAGAGTCTCACTCTGTTGCCCAGGCTGGAGTATAGTGGTGTGATCTTGGGTTATTGCAGCCTCCAGCTCCCGGGTTCAAGTGATTCTCCTGCCTCAGCCTCCTGAGTAGCTGGGATTACAGGTGCATGTCACCACGCCCGGCTAATTTTTGTATTTTTAGTAGAGACAGGGTTTTACCATGTTGGCCAAGCTGATCTCAAACTCCTAACATCAAGTGATCCGCCTGCCTGGGCCTTCCAAAGTGCTGGGATTACAGGCATGAGTCACCATGCTCAGCGAAACTCTTTAAGACTTTTTAATGCTTTCTTGTCCCACAATCATTAAGTACTCATTAATACTGATTTCCAAATTAGTTAGCATACATAAGCACACATACCTAAACAGAATAAACAAGAGTTGCTACGCTGTTCACTCTAGTTTCATATATTCACTGTCGACATATAGCTATGTAAATTTACATTAGTTTAGATAATATTAAATATTCAGTTTATCAGTTATGCTAGCCACATTTAAGTTAGTATTAGCCACATTAAGTCTACTGTTTTGTGGCTAGTGGCTATGTATTAGACAGCATACACATAGAACATTTCCATCATTATAGAAGGTTCTATTGGAAATGCAGATTTATGGAAAAGAATTTGCCAGTACAGATTTCCTATGAAGACATAGAAGGAACAGAAAAAGTGTTTTTGGAATATATTTGCCAAGCATATAATGACCAAGAAGACTGATTTGCCAGCCCTTGTTTGGTATTATCTACTTGTCTCAAACTAGGGTCAGCATCTGGCTTTAGTTACTAGGTAATAAGTTGGGGACTTTTAATCAACAGTGAAAGGGGCAATGTCATACATTAGGAAATATGTTGTATTTGCGAAAGCAACATTTTGTCTCTAGACCTAAATTTTCTTATCTGAGAAATATAGAGAGAGAGGTCATGTTTTCTAGCATAGAAATGTGCCTCCCGTATTTACATATTTTTGAACAAACAGAAAGAGTAAACAGAAACTCGTAGGTTTCAGAGACTAAGCAGACAGGGTGTCCCAGCCCTCTACTAATATTTTTCTAACGTTTCACTGTAAATGTTGAGTGGCACTTGGAAATTTCCCAAGTCTCAAAGCTGTTGTTCTCTTGCTTTCTCCTCCCATTGGATGGAAAGATGATGTTTGACCTTAATGTCAAGAATGTGGGTCATGAGAAAACTAACAGGTGGCTTCAAATTCCTTTTACAAGTCTTAGTTATGGAAACGGATTCATTACAAAGTAGAATACCTAAGATTTTGGGTCTAAAACTTCAAGATATTAGACCTCTCATCCTGGGGACCTATTTCCACGATACTTGCTAAACTCTGAGAATTTTCCACAATGGTTTAAACCAGCCCAAGAAGAAGGTTTGCATTACAGGCAAGGAAAGTTATGCAGTAGAATATAATAGAAATTTACACAGTCACTTGAGCCTGAGTCAAAATCTTTAATATCAAGTCAATCTCAGAAAAACTAAAGTCACTCGTGGAATCCTCTTTTTTTGTTTTGTTCATTCCACACCTTTATTTAACCTGGCATGCTCTTTTGATATTGCCAAAATTCAGAGCTCTATTTAAATGGCATTCTATTCTTTTTTTTTTTTTCTTTTTTTCTTTTTTTTTAATGGAGTCTCACTCTTGTCACCCAGGCTGGAGTGCAGTGGCACAATCTCAGCTCACTGCAACGTCTGCCTCCCAGATTCAAGCGATTCTCCTGCCTCAGCCTCCTGAGTAGCTGGGGTTACAGGTGCCTGCCACCACGGAGTTTCACCATGTTGGCCAGGCTGGTCTCAAATTCCTGACCTCAGGTGATCTACCTGCCTTGACCTCCCGAAGTGCTGGGATTACAGGAGTGAGCCACGGCACCGGCCGGCATTCTATTCTTTTCAGGGATCCTTTCTTGGCCCCTTTTAATAACAAAAAATATGTATCCCTGCTTGACTCCTGTTGCACTTTATTTACACCTCATCTTCTGGCATTTGCCCCAAATTATAAGAAGCCATCCTATATGTACTCATGACATTTTCTTAATCATAAGCACCAGTAAGACAGGGAATATTAGCATAATGCTTGACACATGCTAAGGTTTCAGTTGCTGAGTGAGATAGGAAATTTGTGTCAAATCTATTTCTCTGTATCCCATCTCTTACTCATGGATACTGAGAAAATGAAGCTTTACTGAAACTGGCTTTCATATCCATGAGTAAAAATACATTTTTGGTTATATAATCTATACAATTTATATTTGCATAAATGAGGGCTTTAAAAAACACAATCATTGCAACCACTAATATTTCTTTTTAATTAAAGGTATTTTGTGTGTATAAGATTAATAAAAATCCAATCTATCAACTATTTTGCTGTAAAAATATAGACTTTTATCATAAAAGTGACTTTTTAAAAATAATATTATAATGCTAAATGTATAAAAAGGAGAATAAGAAAGAGATAACTGTTTTTGAAAAAAGTAAATAGTTTGCTTCTCTCAGGGTGAGATTCATATTATCAGTATATTTTAAGATAACTATCTTAAAATATATAGTTTAAAAGAAACTCAAGTTTGTACTCACTGATTTTCAAAACATAGCACACATTCATTGGGATAAGTTTTTCCATCAGTCCCACAGACAGGGTCGTATATCTTGGTGCATCCAGTAAGTTCATTGTAACATTTGGCCTAAAAATGGAATTAAACAGAATCATTTCCCATTATTCTCCATTCTTGAGTTCATAGCAAAATCTCTGAAATGGTTTTAATTTCTCTGGGGCACAACTGTGATTGGGAGAACGATACTGTGTGTTGTAAGAGAAATAACCTAAGATCTCGAGACAGAAAACCTTGTTTTAAGTCATGCCTCTGCTATTTCTAAACTGTGTGACATTAGTAAGTCCTATGGCCTTTCTGAAACTCAGTCAGTTCATCTGCAAAATGATGATGATATTACCATTTCCCACCTATCTCATAGTGTTGTTGTGAGGTTTGCACGGATGGGTGAGATAATGTTCAAGTTTGCAGTTACTGCAGGTGCTGGCATCTCTCAGGCTGGCCACATCTTGAGGCATGTTCTTCCTTGTACACTGTAGTCCACACACACTGATCTTCTATTAGGCACTTAAAGGCACTAGCCATCATCCAGTGTTGGAAGTCTTTGCATTCTACTCTAGTAAGAGTTTATAATCGTCAAATGATTGGCATTGTCCTAGACACTGTCCTAGTGCTTTTTACATATTATTCTGTTTAAACTGCCTAACTATCCTGTGAACTAAGTATTATATTCTTCTTCATGTGAAGACAATGAGGCACAAAGCAATAAAATTAGCCAAGGACGCCTAGCTAAGGAATTCCTAAATTCAGATTTCAAACCTTGTCAGAGTTCCTGAGCTTTAGCTCTTAACTACTTCATTCTACTACATCTCCCCACCAGTTTTGCTTTGCGAACACTCATTATTATTATTATTATTATTATTATTATTAGGCTCAAAATGACCCCTCACTTACTTCGGAGCACCCTCCTTGATCTCTCTAACTAGGCTAAGTTCTTAATGGCAGCATATCTTTTTCATAACACTTATCACAAATGTAATAATGTATTCATTCATGAACTTTTGGTCTATTAGCTTTCTCTGACTAGATATAAATGTACTGAGAAGAGGGACACTTCTTCCTCTGGTCTCCAAATTTACTGAAATTACCTTTTAAACAAAAAAATATGAAAAGATTAGAGTTAAAATATTTTTCTAGAAGAAGAACCTAGTTTATTGTTTTCTGTTGTTCATTATAAATTAGAGCCACACCTTGGTCATTGGGAGAGCTGCATGCCAACATGGTCAAACTGGCTGTAAGGAGGAAGGACTACTTGGAGTGAACTCGAGAAGGCTTCCACCCCAAATACTTGTTTACAGCTATCACTAGTTTATATAAAAACCCCTTCACAGTAAGCACTGTAGGACTATATAGAACTTGCTTATACATCCGTGAAATTGTCCTTCAATATATGCCTGTGGGGTGGAACTACTATTACCGTTTGCATTTCACACGTTAACCCTCCCTAGCATTCATACTCCTCTTAACTTCAGGCTCAACTGAAAGGTGACAGCAAGGCTGCATTTTTGTTGGATCAAACTGTTCCAGCCTGAGAAATAAGAAATTACAAATATCTCTTTACCTCTCTTCCCAGGGAGTCAGCTCCAGTGTTACCTGGAAATAAATCAGATATCGTAAGTTGGGTCCTAAACGAGAGAAGTCAGATCTATTCTTCATCAGAATTCTCTGCTTTCACTGCAGACCATGACTTCTTTACTAGGCTCTTTCATTCCCTACCCTTTCTGATTTCTATAATCTTCCAAAAGTATCTGACTGATTTTCCTGCACCCCCTCCCTGGCAAACCTTAAAAAGATTAAGTAAAACTTTGATTATGACCAAAGTATTTCAATTTGATGTTTTAGGAAGTTGATCTATTTCCTTGAAAATAGAAATTATGTACTTACTGCTGGAAATGTATCAGGCACTGAGCAAATTATCTTTTGAATCCTCACAAACATTCTCAAAACCAGTTGCTAGATCTTTAATCTCACAATTAGTGAAGTATACTTTCTATCTGTTTACAGATGAAAGTATGGAGAGTTTTTATAACTAGCTGTGAAACAGTTATCACAAGCAGTAACCAGGCCTTCTGATGCAAAATTAGTTTTTTCAATTACACTTAAATTCTCTTTTGTAAGTAATGTTGAAAAAATAGAGATCTTTTGCCAACTCACTATCAGTTCCCAAAAAGCTATTTCCAACAATTGCATCATATGGACTATGGGTCCAACTCACATTTATTGAATTTACAAGTAGTCAAAATAGCTAATCTCCGTTCCCCAGAAGATAGCATGGGTTTTGCTGACAACATGTAGAAAATGATAACTGTGGATGAGTTCATGGAAGCGAAGGGGAATTAATCTGATAGCATCCAAATAAGGAAATATTTGTGAAAATTAATTTTTAATATCATCAATCTTTGAGGTGATCTGGGTAAAGAAGTAGTTCTTTGTCTCTAAATGTAATGAAAATTAGTGAGGCATCTAAGAGCTTGGAGAATTTCCCCCAGGATAGTCAGAACTTGATGTTGTTGGGGGCCCACGGGCTTTTAGAATCTAGTTGAATCTAAAAACTGATGAGCAGGTGCTCATCACAAGCATCTATTTGTATTAATTAATATGCATGAGGAGGGGGAAAGGGAACACTGACAGCTGCCATAAGTATTCAGCGAATACAACAAACAATATTCTTCCTCTTCTTAGCAAAGTGCTGATTTGGCTCTCCACAGGATCTGTCGCTACACGAGAGGTGAAGTTGAAAATGTTAACTATTTCCAATGATAAAAAGGAAACTGATCTTGGCTCTGCGGGTTGAGAGTTGTCTGTTAACATTGTCAAGATGCAGTTGGGGGTATATGTGCACCATCTATTCAAGCAGAATGTTTTCTTTCAAAACATTCAAAACGTGTAATGTAAATACACAAAATGCAATTTTTGTATTTCCAGATACTAATAAGAAATACCAGAAATTGAAAATAAAAACTCCCCTTTATATCACATATATTATTGTAATTTGGCCTTACACATTTACAAAATTAGAAGTATAGTTAAAATTGAAATATTTTTACCCTTTTTTCTCTACCGTATTCCAACAAAGGGTCAGCCACATCAATAGAGGAAAACCATTTTATCTCTAGGCAGTTCTTACTGCAGAATTGTTTTCCTTATAGTAAGTTAAAAATCCCTCTTAAAAAATAATTCTTATCTATGGATTCTATTTCATCTCATTAGGTCCAAAAGATCTCTCGAAGACTAGACTACATCAAAAGTCTAGAAGATAATGTGCTCCACAAAGCAACAGGTCAAAATGATTTTATTTAAATTTGAAAAATATGCAAAAACACTTACCAGGTAGACTCAACAGGGCCAAGGCACTGAGAAGAAAGATGCCTGTTACTTGCATGGCTGAAATTCTGCGTCCAGAGGTCAGTTGAAAACTGCACTGCACTTACCACGTCTCTTCAGAAGCCTGGGACTGGAAGGGTCATATGGCAGACGACAGCAAGGCCCCACCTACTGGGCTATATCATAGATCTCCCTAGTTATTGATTGACTCTGTGTTGTAGCCTGGCCTCCAGGTTCTGGGAATGTCACCTGTGTAAGAAAGGTGAAAGGAGCCATGTGGGCCTGAAACATACAAGGCAAACATTCTGTCAGGAAAATAGTTCTGGTGGTTAGTTTGATCCCGCTCTCTCAATGGTTGGGGGAAAGTCATACCCTTCTGAAGCCTGTTTTCTCCCCTGTAAGGTGAACCCAAAGATCCCTTCTACTCTGTAGGTCTGGATAGATGAGCAGGTATGGATAGCGACTAGAAAGAATTTTATTCCAAGTAGGATAAAACCTCTCCATTCTTTCTTCCTTTCCTCCACTCTTCATTTCTTATTCTTCTTTCTCTTTTCTCTATTTTTCTATCACCCATTCACAAAGCTTAAAGTAGCTGGTGGAGTGGCAGATGAGAGCGAAAGAGAGAGCAAGAGAGAGAGAGGACTCAGTTCCCTAAAGCGTGTATTCTAGAGTAGAGGGTGCTTGTTGGAGTCACTTTTGCTGTGCTTCTGTGTATTCATCTGGAAATCAAAATAATAATAACATCTAACTCAAAGGGTTACTCTTTCATTTGAGAATATGTGCTGGTTGTCTACCATGTGTTGTTGGAAGAGAATTCTCCATCCTCTCTCACGTTTCTGTGTGTCTTATGAGAGAGGTACCGATAACCTTTGTTTCAGACTATCTTTTTAAGGGTGTTTGGATAGCAAATGACCTTAGCAAATATGTAATGTCTCCCTCTGCATCAAAAGGCAGGTTTGTTTACTGTTTAGTGTAATAAAGTTAATATCTCCTTCTAGGGCAAAGATCATGTTAATTGCCCTATTTAAAAGATTTCGGGTTTTTCAAAGCTTGGCCTTGCTTTCCTTTAACACACTGTACTTTCGCTGTAAGTATCACTTGATGTGCCTTACATTGGCCTGTGGACATCGGGGCTGGGGAAACCAGAACAAATTCCAACACTCTGGCTGTTGCTATGGAATAATTAAGTCCCTTATCTCTGAGCCAGGAGTCTGTGCCTTCTGCCAGAAACCATTATAATGTGGCAGGTTAACTTCTTAGCTTCCAAGTAGGATAAAATCTCAAACCCTTTCCAAGTCATGACAAGAACTGTATTTATCTCTCGAGACAGATCAGTAAATAAAAATAACAATCTCTGCCTTCATGGAACTTCCATTGCATTTTTGTTGAGGGAGGCAGGTGACAAAAAATAATAAATGATTATAAAATATATCAGATATATATTATGGAGAAATGGATAGGAAGGATAAGGGTGCTGGAGTGTTAAGGAGATATGTATTATAGCATAATCAGAAGAGGTCTTGCTTTTCAGGTGATATCAAACAGAGACATGAAGGAAATGAGGATTTGAACTATGTAATTATTCCAAGGATGTGCATTCCAGACAGAGAGAATAGTAAGTGCAAAGGCTGTGAGGCTGACGTTGGTTTGACATGTTTTAGAAACATCCAGGAGGACAGTCTGGCTTCCAGCAAAGTGATAGAGGGCAGAATGGGAGATGAAATAAAGGAAGCAGTGAGGGTCGGCTAGAGTAAGGACTTTGGTTTTTATCAAAGGGAAGCTTTGGAAGTGTTTAGTTCTTGACATCACTATTTGGATGTTTTACAGCTACTTCAAATCTAATATGTCCCATACTACTATTTTGATCTTTCACCACAATATTTTTGTCTCTATTCTCCCTACAGCTTCTTTTCTTTCCAGTAGATCACTCAAGCCCAAACCTCGTTGTTCTTCCTGATATTTCCCTTTCCCCTTTCTATGCATCATCTTCCACACTTAATTTGCTACTAAGTTCTCTTCTTGGATTCGTGTTCAAAATAACCTCAACCCCAGACACTTCTCATTGGCCTCCACTGTCATATCTAAGACAATGCCATCATTTCCCGCCTGGGTTTCTGCATTTCCTGCAAAGAGTTTCTCAATATTTGTTGTTATTTCTTCCTTAAAGTTGCTGCCCATGGAACAGTCAAAGGATGTTTATAGACTGCAAATTTGATAATGTCTCTGTCCAGTTTCTCATTGTTCAGAATGCTCAGGAAGAATTTAGGTTCTGCATGACTTGGCTTCTTTCTATCTTTATTCCCCAAGAGGTTCTTCCTTGCTCAGTCTGGTTATTTCCTTGCTACTTTGGTCATTTCTCTGTTACCCTTTGCTAGGACCAAGAAAACAAAACAAAACAGCTTTGCACCTTCTAAGGTTAAAAGGTTAAGTGGTAGGTATTTTCTCATTAAGCCATTCTTTCTGGGTCTTCCTTTACTTCTTTCTGCATCTAGATTAATTATATTGTATGATTAATTGTATTGTATGATCCTATTGTATGATTTCATAAAATCCTTCATTGCACTTAAAATAATTCCAACCCTATAGCTATTTGTATGATTATTATGTAATATCTCTTTATCTTTAGGGAGCAAATACAGCTGCTTTATTTATTGTAGCACTTAACAAAGTGTCTGGAAAATAGTAGACACTAAATAAATATTTCCTAAAAACATAAATTAAGAGATAAATGTATATACTTCTGAAGACCAAGGTTTATGCCTTGTTCATTTCTGTGTCTTCAGTGCCTCCAGTTGAGTAGCCATTCATTGGCTCATCATCAGGCCTTTTATTCCTTCAACCATTAGTATATTCAAATATTCATCAAGTCCTTACTATACGAAAATTTTTGGCTGAGTGCTAGGGAAATGGATATGATGTCTGCCTTCATGGATTTTAGTCTTAGCATTGATAGATATTGGTTGAATCATATTTGATTTGATTTGAGATGAAAATATATTGGTTCTTTTCATCTCAAATCATTATTTAAATAGTAGTTTTGTGGCCAGTAAGAAACTTCCAATAACCACTGTTAAGGAGGGTTCATACATGAGAAAAGGATTTTTTTTCCTTGGGTCTCACAAGCAGTGCGGGGAGAAGGGAATTGGCTGGGATCTGGTCACGTAAACTCATTAGATAATAATAGCAGCAGTAATAACTTTAGATTTAGGCCTGCCTGATGCCAAAGCCTGGGCTCTTTTCACCAAACAGTGCTTTTTAAACATTTGACTGTGAACCTAAAGTAAAAATTTTGGGGTATGGCCTAGTATATGTATTATATGTAGACGTGGGAGCAGACAAACACAGTTGTTAAAAAATAAAACATAGTCTTATTATAATGAGGACTCTTGATAGATTTTTTTATTCTATTCCATCTCAGTTCACCAATACTAATTTGTAATTAGAAAAATATTTCACTACAGAAACATATCTGTGGACCCTAGACAATCTTGTTTTTTAAATCACTACAATACTAAGATGAATTCTAGTTAAAAACTGGCCCTAAATTTGTGATAGGGAATGGCCCTTTTCAGACAACAAGTTGAAGAGGATAAACAAAACCTATGGAGAGAGGAGCCTGTCTCCAGTTATAAATGTGCTGTTTCAACTGTGACATGACTGGGTAAAACAGTTTTCTCATCTACAAAAATAGACATCATACAGTGTTCATTTGGTGTGAGAATAAACTGAGAAACCATAAGTCAATATTGTGCAAAAATATTATTCCTCACATCTCCAGGAATTATAATTGCTAGCTAGTAATGCTATCACCCTCCTTCCGTGAATTAGAACAATAGAAAATATATTGAGGCCTCATACGATCAATTCTTGACAGAATAAATATTGTTTGCCCTGGGGGATGAGGAGTGCATTGACCAGAGAAATCCTGCTGTAGTGCTAGACTATTAGTCATACTGGATGTGTGTACATTGCTCAACCTTGTGTACATTTTTTCCTTTTCTCCTTTACCGGTCTGAGTACATATTTATGCATGTCTATCTTTGGGAACTCAAGCAAACATATTATGACCTACTCCCTTCTGATTCAAGGACTAATTATTCACCTGAGTAAAGAGTGATGACAAAACTCAAGAGAACTGCTCTAACGGCTGTTGACAATATATGCTGGAATGGGGATGTTGGGCTGGCACCTGTTGATTTTCACATTCTGTGCCCAAAGTTTAACTAGTAAGAAAAAAATGACAGAAACTGGAGATATACAGCTTATTATATTTAGCCTGACATTTGGAGACTTCCTTGACATAGTTGCATCTTAACTCTTCAACTTTTATTTTTCATTATTTAGAGAACTTCATGACTTTTCATAAATAACCTCTTGTTTTTATTCCACTACTCGTTCTCCAGATAGGTCGCATGTGTACCTATTTCCTGTGCACATCCTCTACAGCTTGGGTAAAATGTCTGTGGTGCTTGATGCAATTAGGAATGATTTTCTCACTTTCCTTTGCCTCTCCTAGTAGTTTGTAAAGCTATCACTTAATAGTCACATTGATTACATCCTCCTCATCGTCATTATCACTATAGCCACTACTAATATTTTTCAAAGGTTTCTATTCATCAATCACTGTAGTATTTTATTTTCATCATTTAAATCCTGATAGCATTGTTATTTCTCTTTTATAAGAAAGGAAACTGAAGCACAGAGATTTCAGTTTTCTTGTTCCTGGTAACAGATTAGTAGATATGGTATTTGCTGATTTGTGTGTGTGTGTGTATGAACTTAATCTTAACGTCATGATGAGAACGCTGGATTAAACTCCAAGAAGCCAGGATTCTTAATTTAATACTGCCACACAGAAAGGGTTGTCTCCTCATCTACGTAAACCCTGCACTTAAGCATGTCTCTGTTATAGCACATGAAACTGGAAATTCTAATTTTTCATTTTTCTTATTTGTCTCCTTTACTAAACTCCCGGATGTCATGACCTTTTGTCTACAGAGTCAAGTACACTGTTAGATCCAGTGGCACCTGATAACATGGGCAAAATCCATGCCTTCTAAGCATTTGTGGGCATAGTAGACGTTAATAAGATTGCAAAGAAATGGTAGAGGGAATTGCACCACACACAAGGCAACAAAATATTTTAAAAACATGTCAGCCTTTGTAACCACTCTTAACTGGAAGTCTTTCTTGGTCATTTCCCACCAAGCAGTAGCCAAACTTACAAATGTTGATTACTCTTTCTTCATTGTCTTTTCTACGCTCTTCAGCCAGGAATGAAACAACCGGTTTCTTTCCTTGTCTAGAACAGAAACAGATGACACCTTGACTCTGGAGATACCATATCTAACAAGTTCTTTTCAGGATATTTTCCCAAAAAAGACAGTTCTTTCCTTAAAATAAATTCTGGTGCCAGCTGTAAAGATAGTAACATTACCAGCATGTCGTTTAATGACTGAAAGTCTAATCTTTGCAGAATGACAGACCTCGGTTCAAACCTATGTGTGATTTTGAGCTAAACTTCACATTTATGACCGTCAATTTTCATAATTTTTCCTCCAAATACCCTCAGGCTGGATGGGTTTTCAAACTCAATTTTTTTTGTAAATTTTTAAAAAGTTATATGATGCAGTTCAGAAAGCCCAGTGGTGCCTGGCACAACATGCTTTAATCACACCAATAATTCTTCAGCAAAACATATCATGTAGAGAAAATAATTATTCTTAAATCATCTCTTGACAGATTTTGCTG